TACACATGTATTCTCTCAGTTATTCTGGCAAACAATGAAATAAGATAACTATTTGTTTCATGTCAAAGAGGAAAAATCTAAAGCTGAGATTAAGTTATCACAGCTCATCTTAAATCACAGAGCCAGAAAGGGGTGGAGTTCAGCTTAGGACTCTGGTGGTCTGTTTGGTCCTAGCTCAAGGCCACCCCTCAGTTAAGTTTTGCCCTCAGTGTCCATTCTAAGCAGACTAATGCTTGATTCTTGTCTGCTTCGAGTGTTTATGTTTGGTCCTCTATTAGTCTATAAACTCTTGCACAGATCCTGGCACACAGAGGAGATGCATAGTAAATGATGGCTCTCAGTCTGATAACTCTGGAGTCTGGACAAGAGACACTCATTCTTGAAAAGATCCTGAAACACAGCTTTGGACAGGAATTGCAGAAGTCCCATATGTTGGCCTGTGAGGCTGCAGCATGAACTTGTTATTTGTTGTCATTTTTTGGCTCAAAGAGTCAATCTATTTGATCCACCAGGACCATATTTACAATTGCGGCTGCCCATAGAGGCTACTCACAACTTCAGTAATGTAGTTGGCATACACCTCTAATTATTTCCCCTGGGGTTATCTTGCCAAGATCTGTTTGTATTTTCTAAGTCTCCCTCTGGTTAATAAGGCCTGCAGAGGTAACCCCCAAGTAAGCTCTCCCCTCCCCAACCTGACTACAGATTGGAAAATTAGGATCACTTTCCTAAGTCACATTGTGAACCATGTGACTCTAGGATGTGTCTCTATCTTCCCAGAGTATGAATCTAGCTGGAGATGTGCCAGGTATGGTCGGCCTTTGTGTGTCCCAAGCAAGAGGACTGGACTTTCTTATTACCTATCCTGACTTCACTGTAGTCCTGAACTGGATAATTGGGTAGCAACCAAAGGCTGCAGGGTAACTCAGATTCTAAAGACTCCAAAGTCTTTGGCAAACTTGTGCCTAGAGAGATGTCCTTCGTACCTCTCCCAGGTGAACCTCAGAATCTGGGGACCAACTAGTCAGGAAATGTTGATAGTTATGGAAGAAGAACGAAATTTAGTCCATGCCTCTGGGAAAGAATTATTCGTCTCTGCTCACATGTCCGTTCTCTGCTACACTGCCTGCTTTTCAGAAGTACAAGAAAATAACCTATCAAGCATCCAGTCCCTGAAGAAGCTACCAGGAAGTAATTCATTGACTAGTGATATACACAGCACTTAGATCCCGAAGGCTATTTTAATACCTTGCTATTGAGCTCTTCAGGTCACTCATGATTGGGCCTGTTGGCTTCTGTCTGAAGGAAAGTACTCACTGAGCAGAGACCATAGTTCTTTCCATCCTCCAGGTGAACGACAAGTCAACACTTTAGGTAAGTGAAGACTTCATTGTCGAAATCAGGCAAATATGTTATGATTTGACAAGAGAATATCTATGTTCATCCCAAAGCAGATTTTATATCAGGAAAACAAAATTTGGCTCAAAGTCAGAGCAGGAAGCAGTTCTCTTTTTTATTTTCTTCGCCACCATAGCTGAGCATTTGGGCTCCTGCAGTCAAGGAGGCCGGGCTACAGAGCTGGGAGAAGCCCAGCTTATTTGAGCCAGATGCTCAGCCCATCTCACAGATGCAATTTAGTCATGATTCCATCTTATGCCCGGGGGGCTAGAATGCCATTGTTAAAAATACATGCCACCTATGTATGCCACCTATGGCGTTCTCAGAGAAAAGCATGTTGGGGTCTTCTCCTTGAGGATGATACTGCCAATGTCTCAGTGATACAGGATACTTTTGAGTGCAAAGAAGCTGCCTTCCTTAGCCCTCCAGATGGAGTCCCCACAAGAGAAGGTTCAGTGAGCTCACACAAACACAGCTGCATAAGGCCAGAGTTAGCCCTGGTGGCAACGAGAAGCGACCACCTTCCAAAATGACTAACTTGTTCTGTGCCTTAGGACATGACAAGCAGCCTGTTTCCCAAGAGCTTACTGTAGAACGAGCCCACCAGTGGCTTTTGAAAGGTTGTGAGGTCTTAATGCCTATTCTTCAAATCTCTCGAATGCACACAGCTGAGGGGAAATGAAGCTTTCTCAGGGAATATGCAGGCAAGGGTAGCTTTTAAAAAGTAAGCCAGAAATATCTTTGCAACTATTTAAACTTATGAAAAAATTAAAATGCTAGTTTAAAACGACTGGAAGTCCACGTTCAAGGCACCAGCAAATCCAGCCTCTGGCGAGAGCCTGCTTCCTGGTTTGCAAACAGCTCACCTTCTCACGGCATCCTGACGTGGGAGGGAGGGGAGAGAGAGAGAGAAGGAGGGAGAGAGGGGGAGAGAGAGACAGAGACAGAGACAGAGAGAGAAAATGTTTCACAAAACTCTTTTGGAAGGAAGTGAGCAAAACTACTTGCAGTCCACTGATGTAGTAGACAGAACCTTGGGCTGACCGTAACCAGAACTGGCCTCAGCCCTCTCATTTGTCTGCTCTGAGACTGGAGCACAGCAAATGGATATGACAATCCATCCCAGAGTGCCTCAGAGGAGAAAGTGTGTCTTCCCCACCTCCACTGTGAGCTCCTCACTTCTGGGTCTCAGGAGTAAAGACAGAAACTGCTTCCAGGACCTCTCACTATTTTTAGAATTCAGTACCATGAAAGCATGAAGGTCTTCATGTGGGAAGTGAAAGTGAGAAATGTGAAGAGCTGGAGTCACATGACAAAGATGTGGCTTAACAGCCATGGGAAACAGCAAGAAGGACTCATTTCCTTGACAAGATCTGGCTGTTGGGAGACTTTGGGGTACAGAAGAGAGATAGGAGACAGGTTAATTTCTCTAGGATTGGGGTGAATACTTGTCTCTCTCATTCTAATGTAGGGACCCTACAATGTTTGTGATAATCTGAAAAGCCATCTATGTCTGTTTCTTCTCTCATTTCTGCTTTAGGACAAAAGTTGAAAGCCACCAGGAAATGAGTAAGCTATATTCTAAGCCAGTAGCTCTCAGAACCCCTCACCTCCCCCACAGGGATATATCTCCAGATTACTGGGCTCTACCCCCAGAGTTCTTGACTCAGTTAGGCCTGGGGTGGGGACCTGAAAGTCTGCATATCTACCAAGTCCCAGAGGGTACTGATGCTACTGGTCCACAGGCCCCACTTTGAGAAGCACTGCTCTAACCACATGCATCTGTCTGTGGTGACTGAAAGGAGCTAGTTATGAATCCAGTTAATCATTTTCAGTTTGGTGCCTTCCTCTGTTTAACCCTCCTCATGCGAGATCAGATTTTCTCACCCCATGGATTGTGAGCAGAGACTGATGTATTCGCCTTTGTTTCTTCTCTCTCCCCACTTCCTCTCTGACTATAGAATGAACTTACTGGCTAGTTCTAACTCATTTTTCAAGTCTCAACTGAGATGTCACTTCTTTCCTGATTGGAATTGATTAGGCATCCTTCTTGGGTGCTCTTGTATGACCTCCCCCAATATACAACATGTCACATTATATTATCATTGTTTGTTTCCTTTTTTGTCACTCTCATCAGATAGTGAACCCCTTAAGGGCAAGGACTATGTCTGGGAGGTTGCTAGTAGTGAATCTTGGTGTGAGGTAATGCATTCTTGGACTCTAAAAACATTAGAATAAAGAAGGAATAAATAAGAGGGATATTGTAAAGGAATATACTTCTCAGTGCCTGCTCCACAATAGGTATCTGTAAATGCTTATTCAGTTAAATAGACATGTTAACAGAGTTTTTTTGACTGAAGGGATATGGACGGTAAGTTGGAGAAGGAATCTAACATTTGGTGAGCCCCTATTATGTAGCAGACACTGATCAACAGCACAGTAGAAAATGGCATTGACTTAGAGGGGAGTAGGGCATATGAATGAGTTTGAAATTGGTGAAATGGTATTTAAAGTGATATCAAATGCTCAAAAGGAGGTGCGCATCTGGAGATTTATTGATTATAAATTACAGCACAGTAGTTAGGAGCACAGTCAAAAACAGACTCAGGAGGCAGACACATGCCGGTAGTCACACCAAGATCTCATATCTCTTCATTCTAATGCAATGAAGAGGTCAGTCCAGACCTTGCCAACCAAAGAGAATACTTGCAACAAAGGCCAGAGCAGCACAGTCCTGGCCTGCCAGCCCCACCCACCTGCTCATACGTACATAAGAATCAGAAGGGAACAAAGAGGCATCCAGCAAGGTAGTCCTCAGGGTCTCTCCCCTGGGTATCTTGACCTTCCGACCTTCACTTTCTCCTTTCTCTCTTCTCTACTATGGAGAGTTATGACTTGCTAGTTGAAGAGGTTGGAGGAAACCACCGTGGATCTTTTGGCTCCAGCCTTAGGGTGAGAAGGGATACAAGACCTTCAGTGATGAGCTTGAGTGAGTAAAACAAAACTGTCCTGAGGACCCTTTCCTGTGCCATCATACTTCTGCCCTTGAATGACAAGGCAGCAGGTTCCCACCTGTGGCCAGGTCTCATTTAGCTTGATAGGAAAGCTCATGGGAGGCTTGGCTAGAAGGTTTGATGGATCCTGTGCTCTCCCTTCCTCAAATATTGTATTCACACAATTCCAGGGGTCCTGATCCTTTTTTCTATAGGATTGCCTTTTTACTTTCCTAACAGAGGACGGAGGGATGGGGGTGGGCTGCTGAAAGTGCTGGTAGCTCAGAGGCTGAAAACCTCAGAGATGAGCTTGTGTCAAGGGCTGGTGCACTTTAACTAACCTGATAGTATAATCAATGCATTCTTTGTTGACAAAGAGCTGATTCATCTGTTTTCTCTTCCCACCTGTAGCTGAGGATAGAGGAAATGAATTACCAGGAAATTGGAAACCACACCAAAGTGACTGAATTCATTCTTGTGGGACTGTCCAAGCACCCCACATCTCAGAGTATTCTCTTCTGGGCACTGATGTTTCTCTACATAGTAACTTTGGCAGGAAACAGCATGATCATTTTCCTGGTAGGAGTCAGTTCTCGGCTCCACACCCCGATGTATTTCTTCCTCAGCAACTTGTCTTTACTGGATCTCCTTTTTTCCACCAGTGCTGTACCACTGATCATGGCAAACTCGCTGCAGAACTTTCCCACCATCTCTTACACTTCCTGTTTTGCCCAGCTCACGATTCGAGCCTTCTTGGCACTGGCCGAGTGCTTCCTTCTTGCCATTATGGCTTATGACCGATTTGTGGCTATCTCAGATCCACTCAGGTATAACCTGGTCATGTCTTCTCGAGTATGCATTTTAATGGCTTTGCTTGCATGGATGACAGCCTTCCTGCTCACTGTTATGCCCATTCTGCTCTTTCCCATCAGTTTCTGCGGCCATAATTCGGTCAATCACTTCTCCTGTGAAGCCCAAGCCATCTTTAAATTGCTCTGTTCCAATACCATTTTCCTAGAGGTTATGATGATGGTGTGCGCTGTCATTTCAATGCCAGTCCCTTTAATTTTCATCCTTATCTCTTACCTTTGCATCCTCAGGGCTGTCTTAAGAATCCACCCAACTGAGGCTAGGCTTAAAGCCTTTTCCACATGTGGCTCTCACCTGGTTGTGGTAACCATCTACTTTGGGACACTAATATATATTTATGTGAGACCCCAGACTAAAAAGTCTCAAGATGGAGACAAAATTGTCTCTATACTTTATGCAGCAGTGACTCCAATGCTAAATCCCCTCATCTACACTCTGAGAAATAAAGATGTGAAAGCTGCTCTCAGGAGAGTAACTTGTGGGGCCAAGTCCTGATGCCTCAATCACATGACAGCATGCTGGATAGTAGGAAAGCACTAGGGCTTTAGCTCTCCTGGCAATTTTGCATCTGTGAGTGACACTTCTGAAATGAGTAAACACTTGCAAAGCATCTGGATAATGGAAGAAATCACACGAGAACAAAGATTTGATGGCGTAAAAATATAAAACTGCTGCATGTCACATGCGTCTTATACTAAAACAAAATGCAAGTTACACATGAGAAGCAAGGTTTGCAACGTACGTAACAGAAAAATAATCAATAGTATTTATGTATAAAACCTCTTGCAAGTCGTTAAGATAGGAGATAAATACTCCAATAAGAAAATGGCCAAAGGACACAAACATGCAATTCAGTAAAGAAAAAAAATAAACATTCATTCTTAAGCAACAACAAAAATACTACTTTTCATTTATCATGTCAACAAAAATGAGAAACATGTATAGTATTCAGTGTTGGTTAGAGTGGAATGTAACCTTTAGGGGAATGTAAATTGGTACCAATTTTTGGAGAGCAGTTTTGGTAGCTATGAAAAGTGAACATTGGGTGACCCATTTAGTTGGGGAGGTGGATCTCAGTTGGAAGTGGACTTGCCCTCTTCGTGCACTGCTCTGAGAGCACTGGGAGGTTCTGCAAGCCTGGTGGCTCTGAAAATATCCACACAGGAACAAGATATTAATCTCCACCTTTTGCAGACTCTCGCAGACTGTACATGTCAGTGCTTGCTCCCACACCCTTCCCAACATTGAGAGAACCTTGGGGAGGAGAAGGGTGGTTTCTCCCCCAAAGGCAACTCCTCCACCTTTGAAATGGAGCCTCTCAGCAATCTGCAAGAATATGGTTGGTCCTGAACAGGTGGTCTTCTTTATTTAGAATGAAAAATATTTTGAAGACCTTTCTTTTCATAGCCGTGGACTTTAGTCATTGATTCCAGGAAAATATAATGGACCTGCTGTTATGGACTGAATGTTTGTTTGCCCCTCCAATTCATATGTTGAAGCCTGAACCTCCATTGTGATGGCATTGGAGATGGGGCCCTGGTTCAATGAGATTAGCACCCTTATAAGAAGAGGAGGAGACACCAGAGTATGTTTTCTTTCTCTCTCTGCCTCTCTCCCTCTCTATCTCTGACTCTCTCTCCCTCCTTTCCTCTCCCTCTCTTTGTCTCTCCCTCATTCCTTCTCCATCTCCCTCTCTTTCTCTCTGTCTCAGCCTCCTTCATTCTCCCTGTCTCTCTCTCTCTCTCTCTCCCAATGCCTGATGTGATGTTATTAGCAGGCGGAGCCTTTGGGAGGTGCTTAAACCATGAGGGTAGAGCTCTCATGAATGGGATTAGTGCTTATAAGAGTGACTCCAGAGAAATATCTAGCATTATGTGCCATGCGAGGACACAGTGAGAAGGCAGCCATCTACAAGCCAGGAAGTGGACTCCCACCAGAATCTGAATCAGCTGGTGCCTTGATCTTAGACTTTCCAGCCTCCAGGACTGTGAGAAATAAATGTTTTATATCTGTTGTTTAAGCCACACAGTCTGTTATTTTGTTACAGAGGCCGGAGCTGAATAAAACACCTGCTTCGGCATCTCATGTCATCATGCCATCTCGATGCATCTATGTCACAGAAATACTGATGTATATATATGTAACATGTTTGTGCAAGGATGCTTATTAAAACACTGTTCGGACATGTGAGAATTTTGAAAAAAAATCTCTAAGTGTCTATTAATAGAGTAATGTTTAAATAAACTACAGTAAATTCATAGTATGGAATATTGTGCAGCTAAGAATAGACCTATAGGTCTCTCATTCTTCTGAGAGCAGAAGCTTACCTGGCTATTGGGATGTAACCTTTTCATGATGATGACAGAAGTGCAAGAGGGGTGACCATTATAATTCTTAAAGCCTAGGATCAAATTAGCACATTGTTATTTTTGCCATGAGTAACACAACACATTCAATCATGGTAGAAAAAATCACCAAAGACAAATAGGAACAAATAACCATATTTTCTGTGGGTTTAGCTGCAGATCTATCTGTTTCTGGTAGAGGTGGGTTAAATGCACTATGATTTGAATTCTTTCTTTGTGAGTAGAAGTATTTATTTACTTTCCTTTTGCATTAAAAAAACATGCAAATATGGTCATATTAAACAGTGCAGATTTTTTAGTTTCTTTTTTGTTTTGGCTCTCCCTGGCCCACCATCCTGCCCATTTCCATTCAACTTCCATATCACCCCCTCAAACCTCACCTTCGGGTAACCTGTGTTAATGACCTAGTTCATACCATTCACTATAACAAAATTCAGACATCTCTCTATATACACTTATACAAATATATAAGTATTTTTGGTTATTTGTTTTTCACAACATTGAGCTCACATTATACACATTTTGAGCATCTTTTTTTCTCACTTAGTAACCAACATACATCTCTCCAAATCGGTGGTCACAGCGCTGGCTTATTCTTTTTAATGCCTGTATAAAATTTGTCAGTGTCGATTGAACCATTCACCTCAGTCATTCACCTTATTTCCAGTTTTTTGCCACCATGAGACCAGTGGCAACAAACATCCTTCTCATAGAGATCTTTCTACCTGAATGGACCAAATGTTCGGACTCACTGCCAACATTAAAAAGACCAGCAACATGTATTGCTGCTGTCAGGGATGCAGAAGAAAAAGTATTCTGGTCCCTTCAGGTGGAAATGGGAACAACACAGCCTTTTTGGAAAGCAATTGGGCAATATCTCTTCATACTGGGAATCATTCCCAGAGAATGAGAATTGTCTTTTGGCTAAGTCATACTGATGCACAGCAATGGGATAAAAAGAGAGAGCTGTTAACATGCAGTTAAATAGGAGTTAGAATCCAGAGGGCCTGGTAGAACAGGGAAGTGGAGGTAATGGTCCTGTCATGCTCAGGCCAGGGACCTGGTGGGAAAACCTGGGATTCTGAAATATGAAATGGTGCTACATGGGGGGATGCCCTTGAGGATGATGACTCTGCAGAACCTTCTGGGCTCTCAGACTGACAGACAGAGCTTGCCCTGCCCCAGTAGAGTAGCACTTCTGCCATACTGGAAGATGCTCCATAGACCTCCCCTTTGCAGGGTAACAGATGCCCTCTTAGAATCTTCCTGCACTTTGTCTCCTGAGTAACTGGTCAATAAGCGGGGTTAAATAGCACATCAACCGGCTACGATAGGTAATTATCATCACGGGGAAAGAAGACACCTGCTTAACGAAGGATATAGGGACCGAGCAACTCAGAAGTCACGATATAAAAAGCAGTCACAGGGCTGGACCCTGTGTTGCGGTCTGTCAAGATTCTGGGCCTCTAGCATAATAGAGGCCAGGTGGTAGCACATGCTAACCAAAAGTCAGAAGGTTGCTATTACCATAATGACTAAAAAGGAGGAAGGGTCAACCGAAGGGGCTTGACCTACAAGGAGTCGTGGTTAATAGAGCTTGGCATCCCCAGCGAAAAAGCAGATGGGCAGCCAATGAACATGCTATTTAATATATATCGTCCGAAGAAGGCAAGAATGGAGAAGCAGCCACCACTATACAAAGTCTCTATCCCTGGTTCAGTCCCCAACCTTGAGCCAATTTTAGACCCAGAACCCACTGTCTGAAGAGGTGTGGCCAGATCCCCAGAAGGAAGGACCTTGCAACACTGTGCCAAGCATATAGTAATGACAATACTATTTTCAGGGACCTATGGCCATTGACTCAGATGACTATACACTGGGGAGAGGCGCTCTACCCAGATATTTAGAGAACTATTGGGCACAAGGCAAAGAAGGAACCTCCCCTAAAGCTTCCGGAGGGAGCACGGTCCTGCAGGGACCTTAATTTCAGACTTCTGGTCTCCGAAACTGGGAGAGGATGAATTTCTGTTGTTTTAAGCCATTCATTTTGTAGTAATATGTTACGGCAACTCTGTAATATATATTGCCAATACATAGGCAAATAAAACAGATACATGTATATATATATATATAATATATTATTATACTAATATTAGATATTACATTCTGCATAAATTATATATATTTAAATTTTGTATTTTATATATATTAATATACTATATGTTATCAGCACACAGTATCTTGGTCATTTGATCAGAAGCCTGAAGGGAAAGGACTGGAAGATTCAGAACGAGAGGTCTGGAGTAGAGGCTTGTGGATGTATAGCTGGTAGTGGGCATGAAATATGAAGATTCTTGAATCATAGCAAACACTGAGCAGAAAGTATCCACTATGGAAGAGGCAAGTAGACAAATTGACTTGCCCAGTTGACATGAGGCACCCTTTGTCATGGACAACCCCAAACTATCCCGATGGGCCCATGCACCAGTTGCCCCAGAAGCCCAGATGGAGGCCCAAGAGTAAAGACTCCCACTATCAAGGCCGATCTCTCTACCTCTGGATGTCCAACTTGCCAGCAACAAGGACTGATGCTGAGCCCCTGATGAAACACTATTCCTTGAAGACACCAACTGAACACTCAGTGCCAGTCAACTATGCTGGGCCCCTTCCATCCTAAATGACAGGCAGTGTGTTCTCAGTGGAATAGATATGACAAATAATTTATTAGATCTACATGTGATATTATGGGAGTACAGTAAATGCAGTCTGCTGTACATTTGCTACAGAAAAAAAAGAAAAGAATATCTATTTCTACATAATCGTATCTGAATGTAATAGCTTTGGAAGGATATGTAAAAATCTTGAGGACTGGAAGTCAAATTTAAGATGGAGACTTACTTTTTATTGTATACCTTTGTGCACTGTTTAAATTTTATTTTTACCATGTAGCACATGTCACTTCTAAAGTCAAAATTACAAAACCATCGGAAGAATCAAGTTGAATAGGAGAGGGAAGGGCAGTCAGTACTGAAGGCAGCAGGAGACAGGGCCAGAGACAAGGTGAAAGGATGGACCTTGGGTAGAAAAGCACAGGCCTGTGGGTGATGGAAGGAGAGGGCAGAAAGGTGG